TTGGTGGACTGTGTGTGGCAGTTGGGGTGTCTAGCTGCTTTTGTGGCAGCCATGGTTATTATGGTGGTTGTGGTGGGCCACCCACATGGAGGTGCTGTTTTTGGCATGCTCCTTGGCACTGGCAGTGTGCCTGGTTGTGGGGTGTGTTTGGTCCCCTTCTCCATGCCTCTGGTCCCTGAGCAGGCCCCAAGGCACTGGCACCATGTGCCTGGTTGTGGGAGAGGGGTCCAGTCCCCTTCTCCATATCCCGGGTCCCTGGGCGGGCCCCGAGGTGCTGGTGCACTGTGCCTGGTTGTGGGAGGGGGGTCCAATCCTCTTCTCCATACCTCAGATACCCAGGTGGGCCCCAAGGTGCTGGCATTTTGTGCCTGGTGTGGGAGGAGGGTCCAGTCCCTGACTCCATACCTCAGGTCACTGGGCGGGACCTGAGGCACTACCTTAGTGTACCTGGTTGTGGGAGAGAGGGCCAGTCCCCTTCTACATGCCTCTGGGCCAGGTGGGCCCCGAGGTGCTGGCGTGGTATCCCTGGTTGTGAGAGAGAGGTCTGGTCCCCTTCTCCATGCCCTGGGTCCCTGGGCGGGCCCCAAGGTAATGGCGTGGTGTACCTGGTTGTGGGAGAGAGGTCCAGTCCCCTTACCCATGCCTCAGTTCCCCAGGCGGGCCCTGAAGCGCTGGCTCAGTGTGTGTGGTTGTGGGTGAGAGGTCCGTTCCACTTCTTCTTGTCTTGGGTCCCTGGGCAGGCCCCAATGTGCTGGCAATATTTGCCTGGTTGCAGAAGAGGGGTCCAGTCCCCTTCTCCATGCCCTGGGGTTGCTGAGTGGGCCCCGAGGTGCTGGCTTGGAGCAAGTGCACTTTGGATCTTTTCCAGAATCATGTCCCCTTTATAAACAACATCCTCTAGACATGTAGCAGCTTCATGGCTTTCTTCTTCTAGCGTATATGAGCTAGCAGCTTGTAATGCAGGTTTAGATTCTTCACTGGGTAAAGAATCTATCAAAACATCAATGTCTTGTTGTTTGTGCAATCACTGCTGCAAAAAACTGGGCATCCTCTTCTGTAGGATTAGCTGGCTGGTCTTTGTTAATTGCTGTATGAATATTATTAAGAGGCAGGAGGACCACATTGCTGCCACACTCTAATGGCATTGCAAAACTGATCTGCAAGCGAGTTCACTGCGTCCTACAGTTGTGTGAGCCGGTCTGCCGTGTTGCTCCCGCATGCAAAGGGAGCTGATATGATTTAATCAAAGCAAGGAGTGAGAAAAGTCCAAGCATTTCTGATGCTTAGCTATATTAGTTTCCAAATATGTTAATCCCCTTGCCGTTTGATTCCATATCTGTACCTAGCCCTAAACACAATTTAAACGTTAGTTGGTTTGAAAAAAACTGGGAAGAACCTATTGACTATGGTGAAGAGAGTACCAAGAGTCAGAAGGTGCTGACCTGTCACTGGGGGCGAGGACTGAGGGAGCATAGTCCCAGTCCTGCTCTTCAGCAGCAATATAATGTACCCAAGTTTTAGGATGCTTCTTGGCAACTGAGCGAATTTGGAGAAAGGAAGGAGAGTTGTCATCATCAAACTTGAGCACGTCCATGTCAGAATCATCAAGATCATCATAGTCTTCCTCGTCCTCATTGTTCTTCATCCGTAGCTGGGCTTCCTCCGGGCAGGTATCTACTTTGACGTAAGCTTCCATGCCATCTGCAGTCAGAGAAAGCAAGCAGTGTTAGGCTCCTGCAGACTTTCCTGCCTCAACCTCCGGCATTTCTCTCTTGTGTGAGGCTTTCAAGCCTCTCTCCTAAGTGCCCTCCTCTCCACACCTTCTTACCACTGCCCTGTACGGATTTACTTCTTTACGAATTATCTGGTATTTGCTGGTTTTCCCTCTGGTCTTTGCCGCCAGCATTTTCCTTCTGCCTGACTCTCCTCCACTTATGTTTTACACCTTTTTGAAACTCAACAATTAAAGAATGAATCAAGCTCGTTTGTACCATTTAAAACTTTAAATACTGCTATACATGGCGCTCATTTAAAATGTGAGTATAGGTGTTTCATATGGACAATTGTTATTTCGCTCATAACTTTTTGCTTATTTACAATTGCAGAAGTATAAAAAGTGACAAGAGTAATAAAAATTTTCTGTTATGAACATTTTCCTTCTGGAGCTGGCTTCGGACCTATCACTCCCTCCCGCCCCAATTATAAACAAGGAGACTTAAGGAGCTGCATATTCTCAGCATTTGTAAGCCTGGGCAGACCAACTCCCAATCTCCACAGTCACCTAATAATTTCTGCATTCACACCACTGGATTATAATGCAAATCACTGATAATAATAAGACAAAGCACTTTTCTGAAAAATAAGGATTAAAGTCACTGGAGAGAAGCTGTCAAAAGGATAAAATAAAGCAAAACAAAAAATAAACTCCACTTGAAACTGGATCAGACTCAAACCGGGCAATGACTGATGTGCATACAAGTAAATGGCCCATTACTCACCTAATATGACTCTCTTTGTCCTCTAATGTTATGTCAGAATCCCATAAATATTATGTAACAGACGGGAAGAAGAGATTTCTGTTCTTATCACTACATAGAACTATAAACAAAAGTCACTCAGAGAACATAAGGGGGGAAATGGTGGCTACGTGGAAAAACCAAATATCTTTCTAAGGCAACCAGGGGACCAAAGTCAGTACGAGAGTAGCAGGAACAAGCAAGCGCTGTCGAGCAGGAGAGATGAGGCTTCCCTGACAGTTTTCTCCAACAGCTGTTGCTATGGTTTGAATATTTGTCCCCTCAAAACTCATGTTGAAATTTAATTGCCATTGTGATGGTCTTGGAGAGTGGTATCTTTGAGAGGTATTGAGGTCATGAGGGCTCCAACCTCATGAAAGGACTCATGCCATTATCTGTGGAGTGGCTTCATTACTGTGGGAGTGGGCTCACCCCCTCTTGTGTGTGCTCTCTCTCTCGACCTCTCTCTCAGCCTCTCTCTCGGCCTCTTTCCCCTTCCACCATGTGATGTCTTCTGCCATGTTATGACACAGCAAGAAGGTCCTTGCAAGATTCTGGCCTTAATATTTAACTTGTCAGCCTCCATAATCATGAGCCAATAAAACTCTTTTCATTATAAATGATCTAGTCTGTGGTATTCTGCTCCAGCAGCACAAATGGACTGAGACAGCCCTCAATGGCCACAATAGAGGGGTAGAGAAAGGGGGTCATTACATGGATCCAAGATTAAGAGTAAATACACAGGAAGGAAAATGGGAGGGAAATGACACTGCAATCTGAATTTGCACAACCTGTAACTACAAATGAAGTAACATTAACAATAATTTGAAACTGTATGTGCCATAGTCCCTACTTGCTTACATAGAACCTTTGACCCTTCGCAAAGTTCCCATCAAGTAATCCTTCAAAATCTCATATGGTGCCTCACATTGCTGACAAACTTCCACTCCATCCTGCTTTTGCTAGCATCCACTATTTCCTGACAAGCCCTGAGTTCCCCGGGTGTGTCTCATCTCCTATTGGGTCCCTACAGAGCGCCTCCCGCTGTCTGCTGTCTATGCTGAGCACGGCAATATCCTCCCATATTTGCTATCTAGTGCTCTGGGCATCACTATCAATATACTGGAGCCCTACGGTTGCAACCTAGACAACACTCTTTTTTTCTATTTACCTGGATTTCTTATAAAACATCTCCTCACCTATGACCTTCAGTGCTTCTCCGTATAGTACTGAAACTTAATGAAGGGGATCAGGCTGAGAAAACAATGACACACTGTCCTCGTCTTCCCCATGTTATTTACTGTCAAACCACCTCTCCCCCTTCTATCTCAGGTATGTAACTAAAAACCCACCAGTGCTACTGCTATGCTTTGAATGTTTGTCCCGTCCAAAGCTCATATTGGAACTTACTCTCCAATGTGGTATTTAAAAGGTGGGACCTTTAAGAGGTGATGGGACTGCAATTGTGAAAACTATGCCCTAGTGAATGGATCAGTCCATTCATGAAATGATGGGTTAATGGTTTAATGGGTTACCAGGGAGTAGACTGGTGGCTTTATAAGGAGAGGAAGGAAGCACGTGGACATCCTCTTCACCCCTGTGCTCTTGCTTAGCCCTCGCCATGTGATGCCCTGTGTCACCACAGGACTCTGTAGAGAGCCCCACCAAGAAATGCCTCACCAGATGTGCCTCCTGGACCTTGGACCTCCCAGCCACCAAAAACGTAAGAAAATTTCATTTTTTTATAAATTACCCAGTTTCACGTATTAGTTATAAGCAACAGAAAATGCACTAATACACCTACTAATATTCAAGTCCTTATTCTCAGTTAAAATGTTTGCTCTGCAAACTAGCAACAGAGAATCGCAGTTGCGGTCAAACATAATCCTAACTGTATAATGCCACCTTTTGCAACACACTATATTTCTGTACACATCCAGCAAATCTTATTAAAAGTAGAACTGTATATTTACAATATTCACTTTTAAGATCCAAGATATTACCATGTTGGTGGGAAGAGATATGACAAAACAGTAGAAACTGCCCAAGGTCCATCAGGAGTGTCTGAGCAGTAAGGAAAGTTATTGGTGAAATCTCCAAGGAGGCCTGGCGATGGTTCCTCACAAGAAATGTGTGACCTTCAAGGAATATTGAGTGCACTTCGGGGGTGGTGCCCATTCCAATCACATGCCAATAGACCGATTTCCTGTGGCACCCAATCAGACCTGTAAAGTAGGAATGAGACAGCGGTGGCTAAGGAGCGAATTTGAAATGCGAAATACCTGCTAGTCTTCATCCGCATCTGTTGACCTTCCTGGAACTCTCTCCTCCCTTGGCCTTTGTACCAACACCTTTCTGGGTTACGTTCCCCTACTGCTGGGACTGCTCCCTCTTCTGTCTCCTTTTCTGATCTCTCCTGGAACTCCAGACGCACAACACCTGTACCTGGACATCTCATAAAATCCACGTCAAAACCAAATCTTCATCACCTCATTCTTTTAGAGTTCCTTATCTCAGTAAATGACACTATCCTGCATCAGTTATGCAAGTGACAGTTATCCTTGCCACCGTTCTCACCTCCCATGTCCAGTGTAACACCAACCGTGTGAACATAATTAATAACAGCCAACATTGATTGAGTACTTTGTCTTATGTCAAGCACTGTCCAAAGTATTTTACAAGTTTTCACCTTCTCTTACAGGAGAGGAAACTGATGCCCAGAGAGGTTAATTAACTTGCTCAGTATTTGAACCCAAGCAGCCATATGTTCAGATCCCACATTGTTGACCATGAGGACAGAGGTGCCTCCTCTTTTGGCTCTTAAAGCTTTCAAATATATCTATTTTTCACTATCATTAGTACTACCACCATCTTAATACAAACTACCGTTATCTTTTGTCTGAATCACTGAAATAGCTTCTTTACAGGTCTCCCTGCATCTGGTCACATTCCCTCCCAAGCCTTTCACCCACAAGAAAACTGGTGTAATATTTTTGTAATTCAGATCTGATTGTAATATCTCCCAGCCTAAAACCCTTCAATGGCTGTCATTCCACACAGGATAAAGTCCAAATTATCTGGTAAGGACTAGAAGGCCCTGATTGGTTTGATTCCCTATTCCTCGGTTCTGCTCCAAAGTTCAGTTCAAGTGGCACTTCCTCACGGAAGCCTTCTCTGATTCCCTAGTCTAGGTCACATTCCTTTATTATACAGTAATATAGAATTATGTAATTTTCCTCCAGAGAAATTCTTGGTTTTTAATTTTGCGTTTATTATTATGATGATTTTATTATTATTTGTATCTCCATTATACTATAAAGTATGTGAGAGCAGAAACTTGCGTGTTTTAAAAGTTATTTTCTAATTCTAAAATTGTACATATTCGTTATGGAATTATTGGAAAATAGAAAAAGAAATCAAGAAGAAAATATTCCTCCTCACCCTTCATTATTCTCTTGGGTTGCTGGATCTCCCAAGTTCCTCTTTCATGTACTCTCATGTTCAGCGGCTTCTAAGGCCTTCCATTTCTGAAAATGTCTCTATTTCTCCCCCAAAGCTGATTCATAGTTTTGCTATTAATTCTAGTTTGAAAATAATCTTTCCCTTAAAACTTTTAAGTTATTGCTCCATTATATTTTCAGTCTAATTCCCATTCCTTTGCATGTGACCTGTTTCTCCCAGGAGAAGCTTTAAGTATCTTCTCTTTGTGCTCTGAAATACCACAAACGATAATTTTGTGTCAGGGTCTGTTTTTTGTTTGTTTATCCTGCTGGGCAATTTTAATATGAAATTCACATCTTTTAATTCTTTTTTTCAGATCTTTTTCTTCTTAAAATTTTTCTTCTATCATTTGTTTAATTTTTAAATGTTTTAAATATATTATTAATCTCTTTTCTTTTTGTTTAGCTTTTTGGGAGATTTTCTCTATTTTACCTACCTTCTGTTGAGTTTGTATTTTGATAATGATATTTCTGATTTTTACAAGCATGTTTTTGTCCTTATTGTTTCTTTTTCATAGAATCCTAGTGTTACTTTATTAATGTAGTATCTTTGTGCATCTTTATGAAAATACCAATTAGAGCTTTTGAAAAGTTCTTTTCTATTCTGGGCATTATCTCTTTTTCATCTGGGGTTACCATTTTTTGCTGTTGCTGTTGTTTATCTTTGCACATCCCTTTCATATTTCAGGCTCCCATCACATGTGTGTTTATCCTTGGTTACCCACTCATACTCAAGCAAAAGGAAAGAGAAACCTGAGAACTTTGTGTGCACGGGCCAGAATTAGTGGGCTTTCTTCTGGGCTGCAGAGCTGTCTGAGAATTGGAGAAGAGAGCTCTGGTGTTGAATTCAGAAAGTCCTGAGCATTGTTGAGCAGGTGTGTACATACCTGGCAGAGACCTGTTTACATAGCCGTTGACTGTGTGCATTTTAGGCCAGGCAGATGCAGAATTCACAGCCTGTGTCAAGGAGTCCTTTGTTTCTGAGTGCCAACTTCTTCCTGATGACAGAGGAGGCAAAGACAGAACCAGCTAAGCATCTGTCTCATGAATCATTCTCCCTTTCTCTGACCCCCCCTTTCTCTCCCTTGGGGCAAAGACTGCTCACACCTTCAGCACTGTTTCCAGTAAAGTAGGCACTGATGATTTACCCTCTCAAAGGCAGTGAAGGAGAGGGGGGAGACAATTACCAAAAAGCAGACATTTCTTGCTCAAAGCGATTATCTTTCCTGTCTGTGATATTAGGTAGAAAAAAATAATAGCAATTGGTAACTAGGAGAAGGAAGAAAATTGGTTAATTTGAGCCAGGAAGATTTCATTCTATTTATTAGCTGATTTATTTAAAAGGAAGCACATGGAAATTATCCTAGGAAAAGGGCTGTCTGTCAATCCCTGTCCCTATCATAATCGCTTCATCCCAGTTTGTAGAAACAAAACACCAGGAAACTGAAAGCTTCCCAACTTCCTTTCTGAAATTGATAAGAGCTAAAGCACTGGAAATATTATTGGGCAGTAGTTTCTTGAAGTTACCATTTTGTATGCAGGACCTGCAGCTAATGCTAAAACTTTCTGAAGCGTCCAGACTTTAGATAATCCTCATAAGTTCATCTGCCCGTTCATCCATTAATTTGTTCATTCATTCGAACATATTTGCTGAGCACTACTAAGTGCAGGCACTGATGATGAAGAAAACACAGCCTCTGCCTTCAAGGTGCTTACACTCTAGCTTGAACAGACAGATAAGCTAACAATTATAATAAAGAGTGAAGAGTTATATAATAGAGATTTACCTCGAGGTAAAATGAAAGGATTTTAAAGAGTAGAGTAAGATCAGATTCGCTTTTCAGTCAGCTTCCTCTGGCTGCTATAGTAACAATGGAGTGTAAGGAACACAAAAGACAGGAGACTAGTCAGCACAGAGATAACCAGGGCCTCGACTGAAAAGAGGGCAATGTAGGTGGATAGCAGGGGAGAGGAGATCATGACGTCACAGTTGTTGATGACGTAATGATTATATTAGGAGGGGGAGGAGACAGAAGTACTAACACTGCTAAAGGCCTACTGTGTGCCACACAGTGTTCTGTTAAGTGAAATCACTTAATCCTTACAACAATCCTATGGGAAAAGTACTGTGATTTCTATTTTAGATTTGAGGAAACTGAGATGCAGATAGATTAAGTAACTTGCCGAAGGTTTCACATTTAGTAAGAGGTGAAGTGAAGGTATTTAGAAAGTAGAGCCAGAAGTCCTTGTTGAGGAATTAACCAGGGGGAGAAGACCAACCTGTTACCCAGCTCCTCTAACTACCTTACCTCATCGCTGCCTGAACAGTAATGTAACTTATGTTCTTTCTTTTTTTTTTTTTTTTTTTTTTTTTTTTTTTGTTGTCTTTTT